CGCCCTCTCACACCCCCTAATCCATTCCTGCACCCTCCCTCCTGCCCAGACCCCACACAGTGACCCCCTCATTTTTGGCTCCACCCCACAGCCTGGGGGGCAGCCACACAATCTACTAGCCCCGCCCCCCAGGCTCTGATGTGCAAGGGGAATGGGGGGAGTGGGTCTCTGCTTCTCAGTTAAGTGTTTTAGGGTTTTTTTGCTTCTCACTGGTGTTCTCCACCCTAGCCATAGAGGCTCATGTACTAAGCTCTTGCTGCCCTAGGTTTGGTTGCACCTGATGGTGCTACTATGCACCATCTAGAGATGGTGGCACCTGCTCTAGCAGCTGAAAAACAACCCCTGGAAGGCGCTGGAGGACTGATGCCTTCCATCATACTCTTCACGGCAGCAGTATTGCTCCATGCTAAGGGAACAACTGACAAGGGGCAAGGGCTTCCCTGTAAAGTGGCCTGAAGTAATCCTATGCACCATCATCTTCTCGCTGCGTAGAACAACACCCACCTCTTGGGAGACGATGTATTTTCAGCCAAGCTCTTGGTTTCCAAGCTGATCAGCTCCGGAGGACAGACTGGTTGCAGGAAACAGAATGCTTTCCCCCACGTTTTCCTGTTGTTCCTCGTATGTTCCTATCGGGTCCTAAGTGGCTCCGATACAATCGCACAAAGATGCCCGAGAGAGGAGCTTGTGCTGTAGAATGCTGAGCTTCCCAATTTGCTTACGGAAGATAGTCCTTAGCAAAAGAAATGTCCATGAGGCTTACTGCCAAAGGATGGGTCTGAGAGAAAGAATTTAGCAAAATTCAAAGAGGGATTGGACAATTATCTGGTAACAAGGAGAACCAGAGTTAGTGGTAGTCAATGCTAACAGAAGGAGTTTTGGAAAGGAAGTGGAACGTAACATAGAAATGGCCATAGCGGGTCAGACCAAAGGTCCCCCCCAAGAGAACCCCATCTAGACTTTTTTTTTTTTTTTTGGAAAAACAAACACAACACACCTCTTCCAAAAAAGCAACGACTTTTTTTTTTTTTTTTTTTGGAAAAGCAAACAACACACGTGAGATTTGTAAATCAGTGGTTCATTTGCATTTTTTATTTCCCTTATTTGCATTCCTCCTTCGAAAGAGGAATGTAGTCTAGATGCACCCACTTGGTACAGAAGATAATTTAAAGTATTAAGTCTAGATGCACCCACTTGGTACAGAAGATAATTTAAAGGATTAACCAACCACAGTTATTAGTTCTACAATTTCACATTTGAATTCTTTCAGAGCTCTTGGGTGAATGCCATTTGGTCTTGGTGACTTACTACTATGACTTTGATCCAGGCTGGCAGTTCTACTTCCCCCTTTCATAATTTTGAGGATGAACATCTGACAGTTCTGTTCTCTCCAGGCCCACCTGATTCCTACTCTGACTTCACCAGGTTTATAGCACAGCTGTCTCTTGGTTCTTAAAAGGTTCCTGTCTGCTCCCTAAATTCTCTCTCCTGTGGCAGTGACAGCCAGGAATATTGCATCTCTTCACCCTTGACATCTTACTGCCGACCCTAATAGTCTGATTACATTCCATTACTCTGTAACTGCACCGAAAGTACCTTACTGACAGCCTCGGCTGCAGCTCAGACTTCTTGCTAACTGGGAATGAGATAATGCAGCTTTGGTTCAAGAACATGACCTCCCTGCCACCCAAACTCGAAGTTAGAAGCCCAAAGGTCAACATGCTCTGTCAGGGAGACAAAAAGACCTATTTCAGTAAGTTATCAAATCACTTTGCCGTGGGCAGGTAGGATTGCTCCTTATTGCACATCTAGAGCACTGTCCATTCACTCTAAGGGCTTGTCTTCACTTATCAACACTGCTGCGGTCAATCTCCCAGAGCTCGATTTAGCAGGTCTAGGAAAGACCCACTAAATTGAACTCAGAGGATGTTCCTGTGGGATGTACTCCTGCTCCTTGTGAGGAGTAAGGGAAGCCAATGGGAGTGTCTGTTCCTGTCGACCTCCCACTGTAGAGACCATGTGGAAACTCAAATTAAGATACATTGACTCTAGCTGCATAATTAATGTAGCTGGCATTGCATATCTTAATTCAACCTTCCCCTGTAGTGTAGACCTGCCCTTAGTATTTAGGGCTGGAATCTCTACTTCTGGCCAGACAAGGCTCTTCTACAGCCTAATCAGATCTTAGTTTTCCTCCAATATGCCGCTTTTCTTAATTTTAGCTGGGGGCTCATATGTCCCCCTCCTTATCATTGCAGTATCTGGTATGTATGTAGCCTCATAGCCAATCACAAGCTCAGATGAGGAAGTGAGGCAGAGATTTTTGCTTGCCATCCTCCAGAGGGGCTGCCGCAGGTGCAGAATCAAAACCAGATCTTTTGAGGTCCTCGCCAATGCCTTAACTAAAAGACCATCCTTCTTCCTTGCTTACTAGCTGCACTCCATGGGCTGTTTAACTGTTTATACACAAATGGGTCACGCTGATTTCCTTGAGATTCACGTGAAAATGCTGGTAAGGAAAACTAGAACGCACCCCATAAAAGGTTTTGAAAAGCTTGGCAATGGAACCATTTTCCCCTCCCATTCATCCTGGAAATCTGAAGCATTCAAACAGTTCAAGAGAAAGAAACCTCTTCAGGTTCTTAAAGAGAAAGAATAAAACGTCCAGCACAGCCAGCATTTCCCACATGCCTTTGAGAGACTCGTAATCAACAGAAGTAACGCAGGTATTTCAAGGTCTCTGGTGAGTTTCCAGCATTATCGTGACCTCTTCAGTTAACCTCTCTTTTCAGACACTGAGAGTCAATGCCCACTATTGGGGGAGCAACGGGATTGAACGGTAGCACTTCGTTCATGCCAGCAATGTTCCAAGAAACAAAGCTGTTTTGTCAGGCACGCTCAACACTGCCGTCATGCGACCTTTCACATTGCTCCCGAAAGCTTCCCACCTGAACCGCCTTTGCTGCATCACGACTCAGAGTCCACTGCTGAGTTAGCGGCCGTGCACTTTGCCCCGGGCAGTTTCATTGCTTCGTTAGGCAGCAGCAGAAGTGGAAGTGACTTTGAATACGACCCACAATGAGATTTCATCTTATTAAGCGACAATTCAAAGTACGGGCAGTCATACACATGTGGATTAAGAATGGTGGGCGGGGCAGGACTGTCTCTGGGCAGCGGGAATGTGGCTCTGCTCCACCTGGCACGTTAGTGGGAAGTTTAAGTGCTTGTAAAAGGTATTCTAGATTATCAGCCACAGAGGCCAAAGTCCCATCCCCCAGCACTGTGCACTCTGTTAGGGGAGAAGGATCCCCTTTGGGGCTTAGGGGGGAGTTTGATCTCTATGGCTCAGTCGACTCCCCTGGACCATCCAGTGGTTAAACTTTACATTCAGACTGGCAACACCTCAAGGTAGGTGCTGTCACTGCCCATTGGCAAGGGGCATGCACCCTGCCAGCGACTGCTCCTGCAAGTACAAGACACCTCAAGGTAGGTGCTGTCACTGCCCATTGGCAAGAGGCATGCACCCTGCCAGCGACCGCTCCTGCAAGTACGACACAAAGTAAAACAGAGAAGGAGGGCAGGCCTATACCTTCGGCTCCAGATTTAACCGCACTTTAAAATTCCAAGTAAAAAATCTTTCCCACGTTATTATCCACTGGAACATCAACAGATCAATACAGCTCCCCCTTGCTGAAACAGTGGTTCCACAGGTCTCTGGCCCATTCACTGGCTCCAGCTGTTGGTGAGCAGGGATGCTGAAGCCAGATCCCCTCCTTGTAAACTTGGGGGGAAGGGGAGGGGAAGAGAAAAGGGAGAGTATGGTAAGGCATTTCCTGCCTGAGTGTAAGATTCTGGAACTTGCTCTCCTTTGGTCAGCAAGAGATCTGGGCACACTGCAAAAGACGGCTGTTTGGTAGGATTTGGGGAGAAGAATGAGGACTTGCTTCCTAAACAATAAAGGGACAGAGGTATTTGTGGAAGCAACAGGCTGAGTGACCGCTGAATTGATCGTTTACTGCTGCTGAGATAGAGGGGGGTGTTTATGGTGCATTTGGTGTTTTTAATTATGAAAATAAACAAATGCAGTGAAAAATGCCCAGAGGAACAAAGCTCGTGCCAATGTACAGGGCGCTTCTCAGAAACAAGGCCACTGGCATATTGGTGTGTGTTGAAACAGAGGAATACAGAACACTTGCCAACAGAAGAGCGGGGAGGGAAAGCCGAGTCTACTCCCTTTCCAAAAGAGATTTGCAAACCATGGGAGAGTGAAAACACTTGGCAGTCCCTGCAGCATTTCATTAGCTTAGCTATTTCACCAGCTGTTTAAAACAGGACACAGAAGCACCAGGCTGCACTGCCTTTATAATCAACACCCATAATGGCTGGGCTAAGACGGATTGCAATGTATTATTGCACCTGTACTTGGCGTGAACAGTCTGATACTGTGCCCTTGTCTACAGCAGCCATCCCCATGGCTCTGAGATTGGGCCTGCAGCTCACACAGAGTCACTGAAAATCAATGCTGTAAGTTAATTTTGAGGGGCCTGCTCTGTACCCTGCTTTCGGGCTTCCACAAACACAGAAGCGTTGTTCAGAAGCCGTGCTTGTTTTCATTCATGGCCAAAGACCCAGCAAGGGAGGGAGGAGATGCAAGAACAGCAGCACATCCCCAAATGGTAAGTCTCATCATCAACTAAACTCCTCAGTAAAGCCTGAAAGTCACAGCTGCCTGAATAGGCTGGGGAGAAGCTCAGCCTTACCCGGGCCCGCCAACATTTTCTACCTTTATTACCTAATGTTTCCTTGTTATTACCCAAATGCTGATTAGCCCCATCAGCTGCAACAGCCCAGTGTGCAAGCTGCAATGAGCGCACCTGCTTTCTTGGCATGTATTGCTTCCCAGGATGCATCACCCATTTCCTAGTTACAAGCCTGACTGGCTCATACACTGTAATTCTCCCATGATGAACTCCTATCAAATTGACCAATTTGTTTTTTTTTTTTTATTGAAAGCCAAGCCATTAACTCTACATCATTGAGAAGGGTTAACAAAAAAAGTGAATCTCACACATTAAAACGGCAAGATGTTGGTATCCTGGCAGGGGAGAAGGGGCAAACAACAAACAAGGGGGGAGGATCGTACAGTTTGAGATGCTCTGACAGGATACCATGCAGCTTTATTTTCATCCACAAAACCCTGTGGCAAGGCCACTGGTTCTGATCAGTCTGTGATAAAAAGCTGGGGGGCAGCCAGGTTTGTTTACAGCCAGAGGAGAATTGCTTTGCAGCCGTATGTCACAGACCAATATAAATTCATTGTCCTTTAGTAACTGGGGTTTGGAGGCCTGGCTCTCTACCACCCACATCCACAGAAAGGATCCAGGGGCCTCTTGTTTTGCTGAAGGTTGTATGTGAATTTAGTGTTCAGGAAAGTGAGGGACTGATGGAACTAGCATTGGGCAGGTTTTCCCAGCTGGCCTCAATCCCACACAATGCCGCCTCGTGCATTGCTCCAGACTGTGTCTTGCACCAAACAGAGAGAAAACAAAGAGGCACCAGTTTTGCACTTTTACCTGGAGGCCAGACTCCTCCCACTTGTGACTTAATACAGGTTTGAAGTCAGATCGTCAGGGGAACAGGCTAATCAACTACCTGATACTCACCTTTTGGGGGTAAGGGGCCTGTCTCATACATTTTTAACAAAGCTACAGCCATGGCAGCATATCTGAAGAGTGGATGCAAAAAATACAAGCAATGTATTTCTTGGCAAGTAACATGGCACTGCGCAATAAACAAATGGAGTCCCTGAACTATTCCCACTAATATCTTTGGTGCTACTCTTCTGTGCAGGAGGGCACCATATACAAACCCCCATTCTCACCTGCTCTGGTCTCCTTTTTGAATACCATCCCAGGCCTTTGTTACGAAGCAGTTGTCATGGCACTCAAATGTGCAGTGAGTGGGCTTCAAGGCCTTTGTTCTGGGCGAAGGATGTCATCGTGACTAATCGATTTTACAAAATTTGCGGGAAAAAAAAAGATGACGCAGTTCTGTAACATTTCACAGTAAAATTACAATGGTTTTGAAAATACTTTGTCCTGAAAACACTATCAGTAGTAAGGTCGTCTCGGATTGTTCTGCAGAAAAGGGGACAACAACAGAAGATTAATTAAGATTGCAACTTGAACAGAGCATGTGAGCTTACTACTAATCGGAGGACTCCACTGAAATAGGTTTCAAGAGTCAACATCAGAAGTTTCCTCTGGAAAATTGCAAATGGAATGCAATACTATGTGCATTGGCCAGGTGGGCGTCATGCAGAGTCTGGTGCAAACTGCTACGCTTTTTTTGCCGGGAGAAGAATGACTATCAACATAAAACATGCTGGGATTCAAGGACAACCCATCGGCTTCTTTTGTATGCAGCGTTTATCCTGGACACATTCAGCTTCCAGCTAAATGCAGGAACTTTTGTGTTGAAAAATAAAGGCAAGGAGAGCTTTCTATCAGGGGGGTTGTGTTATTCATGATTTGATTCGACACAAGAACAGAATCAGAAAGGAAATCTCCCAGGGTGATCTGATAGCGTCATTTCCCTGTCACTGTTCCCTTATTTGCTCTATTAAAATGGAACAGAACTCGTGGGGATATTTAGGAATATCCTCAGATAAAAAGGTACAAATGTAAGTGCTTTATGAACACCGAGTCTCACGTTCGACGCACCCTCTCCTGAGGCAAAGGGGTAGGTTAGACTCAGCATCTTTCACAGGTAGGGAAACAAATCCAGGCAGGTGATTTGTTCAAGGTTGCAGAGCTGGGGATATACTCTTGGGACATGGTTCTCCATGGCTCCGCCCCTTGTGTGGTCATTTACATCAATACTGTGCCATTTGGTAATGGTTTCACACCACTTTATTCTGTGTAAATGGTGGCACAATAGGCAGGACAAAGGAGAACGAAGTCCAGGAGTCCGTGCTGAGTGAACATTACCCAGTGTTCGAGAAGCACTTTGAAGACACAGGGCCATACCATGTCCCTTTATTTCTACACAAGGCAAGATGTGCCATAAGGGTCAAGTATTTTTGAGCACTAATAGACTCTTCCTCCTTACAAGATACGGGAAGAGACACAACTGAAGCGTCAGGAGTCATCTCACCAAAGGGTTGGGTCGGAACCTGTAGGCCAACATCATTCTTTTACGGAATGCCTCATACTCGTCATCCTCCTTTGACAGCTCTGCGGGACGATCGATCCCAAATCCAGCGCCATCCACTGCAGTGGTACCCCTGTTTAAAAACAAACAAACCAACCCCCTCCCTGTTAGGTAGATGTTAACAGATAATCACCTTCCTGCTAATCCAAAGAACCTCATAGGATCTGCTCCCTCAAACAAGGGCAGAGAGACCAAGACCTAGGGGCTACTTTTGCTTATTTCATAGAGGGATAAGGGATCTTTCAGAAAAGGCTTTAATTTCCGCAAGATCAGCGTCTAGACTGGCGCTTTTTTCCGACAAAGCTCCATGCCAAAAAAAAGAGGCAGCCATTTTTATGCTAATGAAGCAGGGGGAGATTTAAATCCCCGCCTCATTAGCAATTGCGATGCGTCTAATTTACATCCCTTTTACGAAAAAGGGATGTAGTCTAGATGTAGCCATGGAGACGAGCGTAGCTGATTTGGACCTAAGAGCAGCACAGTGCTGTTACAACATGGCAAACCCCACCACTGGGTGGAAATATCGCACAAAGCAGTAGCGAGAGGAGCAGCAGAGTAAATACATGCATAATCAACCCTTTGTTTAACTAGAGCTGTTCCAGGGATAACTCTCAATGTTTTGGGGTCCTCCCTAGTGAAGAATCCCTTAACCTGCTGACTAGTCTCTGGCAGTCAATGTGACCAAATACAATGATCTGGAGCTAGGTTATTGAGAAAGGGAGTCTTATTTAAGAAGGTGCCTACCTCATACCCCCAAAACGGAGTTACTGGAAGATAAAAACCAGTACAGGTTGAACCTCTCTAGTCCAGCAACATCCATAGTCTGGCATGATTTTAGTTAGCCGGGTGTCCACTTATTGGTGTAGTCAAGTTTCCCACGGTCCTATAAAGTCTGTTTACAGCCACCAGTCCTGGCTCTTAGTGCTCTGTGTTGTTATGTAGATCTAATTTAACCCTAAAAGTCTTCTAAGAGCCCAGTAAACAATGGAAGCATTGGGAATGCTGCTAGACAATACTGATCTCCCATGGTTTGGCAAATTCTCTGGGTCGGCGCCAGTGAGGTACTGGGGTTGCTGGACCAGAGAGGTTCAACTTGTAGTGTTCCCTGTGTATCAGACAGCTCCCCCGCCTTTCCAGGTCACAGGCATCAGAGATGGCAGAGCCTAGTACATCAAATCTTGTCCAGAACTGCACAGTGCAGGATTGTTCCCTGCAGCGTATTTGGGAAAGGCGCAGTAGAAGCTTCATTATTCTGTATACAATAATCTCTCCCCATAGCTCTCGGTTTAAGTGGGTCACCACTTCAGAGAGATGTTCCTGAGAGAAAGGAGCTGAAGTGCTTTGTAGAGACACTTCATCTGTGTTTTCCACTACATATGCACAACTGTAGTTTATAAAGGACCCACTGGATGGGAAACAGTCCTAATTGCTTTCATCAACAATATTTAGGTTCCCTATAGGCCAACATACACCACAAACAGCTGGTCATTCTGATCCATTTTGGATGCAATTACTCTTTATTATCCTGAAAACACTTGAGTGAGGAAACAGACTGCTGTCCATAAGGACGGCATGCACACGCACAGCTTTCTGCTTGTACGGACATGGCTTTCAAAAGCAGTTGGAGCAGTACCATCTACTGGCAACCGCTTTCCGTGCACAGCACACCAGAAACCCATAAGTCTGCCTCAGTCCTCCAGCTGCATAAGGCATGTGCTGGGTATTTGATCACATATAGCACTTTACAAACATTGATCAATCTTCACAGAGCTCCTGTGAGGCAAGTAAGCACTACCCCCCATTTTAAAGATGGGGAAACTGAGGAACAGAGCCTCCATCTCAAAAGGATGGCAGCGTGAGAGTCAAGGTTAGAATTTAGACGCTCCAGGCCAATGCTCAGATCATCTATCCTGTGTAGAGTCATAAACCTAGAACTGGAACCAAAAAACTCTTCAGGTTATTTTTATTACAAAAGGTCCCCTATGCACCCGCAAAATAATGAACTCCAGCCACATTCGTTCCAGCTACGTCCAGCAAACTAGGATGGGAGCATCAACACCTACCCGACAGAAAAGGACAACCAATAGAAGGAAAAGCACATCACTTTGCTTACTTGCTGACAGGATTTTTAATGCCCTGTCCGTCGGAGCCAAGCCCATCACCCTCCTTCCAACCCATCTTCATCAGCATTTGGTAGCCTATATTCTCCACAGTCAGTTTGAATTCCTTGTACTCAGAATAATCTGGTTCGCGACCTTCCTGCAGGGTGACAAAAGGCAACATGAGTTACACTGCATTACTCCACTGGAGGAGGGAAGCAGGGAAAGCACCAGGTCATGGAGATTAGGGATGTTATAGTGTAGTTGATTAAGCAATAAGCAAAAGCAAAAGCTTATCGGTTAATGCTATAGGGCATTTCCTCTCCCCTCCCCCCAGTAAATTTTTAGCAGGCTGGCCAGCAGCTCAGCTCAGTTTGTGCCAAGACCGGGAGCTCAGACCCTCCTCTCCCCCCCACTCCAGCCCCAACGGGGACTGCTGTCACCTTGCATTGCTGGCCAGCCGGTCTGCGAAGGGAGCTGATTTTTAAACTGGCTCCCCTCACGGATCAGCTCCCACCTGGCACCCCAAGCTGCTGCCTCTATTACAGGAGTGGCAGGGGGATCCTCAGGAGTGGGGCCGGAGTGCACTGGCTGCCGGCCCTGGCCCTGGGGACTATAGAATAATTGAGTAACCGATAAGAATTCATGAGGTTAATTGATTATTCAATTAACCAACATTTAACATCCCTAGTGAAGATTAGCAGGGGCCTAGCAAGCAGTCAGGAACAGTTAATAACTTCAACAAAACTTCTTGGGATTGCATTGCTAGTCCACCACAGGGGAGGAAATGGGTTAGCAGGATAGCACAGCAGAGCCACCCAGAGTCCAAAATGTAATCTGCAAGGTGCAGGGACTGCAACTGGGAGATTAAATGGAGAAATATTAGGCTTTTGGATTTAAAGCTGCTTACTGGACTGGCTCCAAAGATGGCTCTTAGGAGATATCCAGGGAACTACAGGCCCTATCTCTTGTGCTGGCTACAAAGGAACACTACAAAGGATGCCAGCTGCAAGCTGTACCACTAAGAGCTGGCAGGAGCCAAGGGCTCTGCACAGGCTTGTCAGAGGTTTCACACTTCGGCTTTATTACATTTGCCTGGATAAAAATTCCAGTTTGCCCTACCTGGTATTAACAATTGCTTATCCCGCTCTGAAATGGGAACTGCAGACCTGTTGGCAAAGTCTGAAAGCTTTGTCTGTTGCAGTGTAACATCACCGTGTGCCCCGCACGCCTTGCTGACAGGCTGCTCAGTCACTCAGGCTTCCAGTGAATCACAACAGATCAGCTCCCCACCTTTGACAGTGACAAGATCCCTGGGGAATGGAGGGCCCCCCCCTCCCCTTCAGCTCCGGCGGTGGAAGAACACCAGCATGGCACAGCTGTGCTCAGTCAGGGCACCGGCTCTGTCCTAAGGCTAATACCGAGAGGTTCAGCACAAGTGCAGACAAAGTGTAGGAGCCTTATGGGCCTAACATACTAAAAAACGCAACCCCCCCCCCCAAAAAACAAACACAAAAAAACACCTCAGACCTCTCTTGCAAGGCTGTGCTAGTTCATCTCTCAGAGCTGCAGGCAGCCTATTCTGGTAAATGACTGAGTTCTTCCCTCAGCACTACCAGGTAGGTCAGATTTTTGCTGGTGAGTTCCAGGAAACCGTCACATTTCACCTTTAGTGCCTTGAATGTCTCCATGAATTTCTCCAGCTCATCAGGTGGCAGGAAGTCTCCGATGAAATGCTTCCCTCTGCCCATCTGAGTCAGCTGCTCGGCCCATTCTGCTCAAGACATGGAGGGGAGGGGGGGAAAAAAACAACACACAGTAATTAATTTAAAGAGTGGCTTTTATAGCATCTTTTACCTCAGGATCTCAAAGTGCTTTACAAAGCGTTAAGCCTCATAACCCCATGTAATGTGGGTGTTATTTCCATTCTATGGATGGGGCCACTGAAGCACCCAAAAAGTTACATGACTTGCCCAAGGGCACCCTGAGAGTCAGTGGCAGACCTGGGAACCTCTTGACTCCAACTCCTAGCTCTTTCCACAAGACCTCAGACTCCATTCTATGGCGGTCTCAGCACAGCAGCAGAATAAGACAAAATCCAGTGCTGAGACTTTCCCACACACCTCGTGTCTTGTCCATTTCCATGCGCCGAAGCTGATGTTCCCATGTCCCCAGTTCATTGTCTACCTCCTCATCACTGTCGTAGTCGTGCTGGTGCTGCTGAACTGCCTTTTCCCACATCACCTGCATTTCCTGCATTGCTCGCTTGTGTTTCATGATCATGTCGTACATCTGCTGCATCTAGGGAAGCAAAACAGTAGCCTGCTAAGGGAGGCAGCTACTCTGTAGGCAGCAGAGTGTACCCAAGGAGGTCCCTTAATTCTACAACATAGCTAGGGGCCTACCAAATTCATGGCCCGTTTTGGTCAATTTCCCTATCATGGGATTTAAAAAATAGTAAATGTCATGATTTCAGCTATTGAAATATGAAATTTCACAAGGCTGTAATTGTAGGGGTCCTGACCCAAAAGGAGGTAGTTTTTTTGGGGGGGAGGGGGAAGGATTGCAAGATTACCGTCTTTTAGCGAATATACCCTGCACCCGAATATACCCCGCGGTTTTTGCAGTTTGAGTAAAAAAACTCTTGTATGCCCCGCACACGAGTACAAGCCGCAGGGTATACAAGACTTTTTTTCAAACTGTTTGTGGGACGGGGGGCTTCTACAGGTCTGGGGAGAGGGGGAGAACTAGCCACCCTCCGGGAGGGGGAGCACTCACCCCCCTGGGTCCCGTGCGGCCGCACAACCTCCAGGTGGGGGAATGAGAGTGCTCCCTCACCCCTTCCTGCAGCTGCGCAGCCTCCGGGTGGGGGAGCGCTCATTCCTCAGTTCCTGCGCAGCCGCAGGATGGGGCAGGGGGAGCGCTCCTGCGCTGGAACCGGGAGGTGAGCGCTCTCCCGCCCGGAGGCTGGCGGCTGTGCAGCGGGGGAGTGCTCACCACCAGGTGAATAAAAAAAAAAATGTATACCCCACACCCGAGTATACCCCGCAGGGGGGTGCGGGGTTTGTAAAAACAAATATAACCCGTGGGTTATATTCGCTAAAATACGGTACTGTAAGGAGGTGGGAGGTTTTGGTACTACTAGCATTACTTCCGCACTGCTCCTGGCAGCATGCTGCCTTCAGAGCTGGGCACTTGGCTAACAGGCACAGCTCTGAAAGCAGGGCAGAAGAAAGGTAACCCTGTGATCCCCTCCCACTTCTGTTTAGATCAGGACTCCCAATCTGAGAAACTCTACAGTCTCTTCTGTGAAATCAGTGTGGGACAGGGTGAAAACCCACAAATATCAGATCTCAGGGTCTGTTTTTCACGGCTATGCATTTCGTAGGGCCCAAAATATAGCATGTGGTTGCCTTATCTAGGAGACAGAAATGCCAGCCAAGAAGACCACAAATTCCAGCAGGCAATGCTGAATCAAACAGTCTATTGTTTCATTGGTCAAATAGGAGCATCACCTGCTGGCACCTTTGAGAGCTGCACCCACATATTAACAATACAGACAGCTGCCAGGTGATCCTTTTGATGTGGTTTATAGTTTAAATGCAGCCCTCAGGATCCCCACAGTGGCCAGTTATGATCCTCTGATTTACAGAAACACAAATTTCAGCAGGGAAGAGAAGTGACACCACAAGCTGCACAGACTAGGGATGTTAGAGTTTAAGTGGTTAACCAACAAGCTGATGCTTTTCGCTTAAACTCTGCCCAGCAGCCAGCTCTGCGGGAGAGTGGAGCCAACAGGGGCAGCTGCCCTGCTCGGGGAAGCTGGCTGTAGAGCCCACAGTGAAGCCGCCTCCCTGGGAGCAGGGATAGCAGCCCTGCTACTTGGAGTTTTCACTGCGGGTTCTGCAGAATGAAGCTTATTTAAGCTTTATACTGAAGAGCTTAGTGGTTAGTTACCCCGTTACCTTTTTAACTGAGGTTTTACAGCCCTAGTACGGTCAGTGGGCTTTAGAGGGAAGAAGAATCAAGTCCCATATGGACAGCATGTGAGAGGAAAGATGAGCTCACAGGCAGAACATTTTTTTTGTTTAGTGGGGAGATGGCTTGGCTGGATTTTGCTCAAGTCCTTCTATGTTCTGTATACATTTCTGCTGACCAAAGCAAGATCTGATACTTAAGAATCCAATATGAATCTAAGAGGGTTTGTCTGTTCAACCCCTGGGGAAATCTCCGTTGTCTACCTCCACCCATGTTTCTTCCCTTAGCCCAACCACGTTGCAATGCAATGTATTGGAGCACAAATTAGCTTACAAATCATTTCATCACATTACCTCCTGCTGCTCCTTCAGCTGTTTCTTCTGGGCATCAGAGAGCTCAGTCACACCCACAAGTCCAACCGGTTTCCCTTTCTCATAACCAAGACCCTTGAGGTCCTGAACTGAAATAAGCAGAGGTTAAAGGTTTTCAAAAAAACTGAGCCAGCTGTTCAGGACAACAGAACCATATCTCAACAGCCTGTTTCACAACTCCAACACTAAGGTGCTAAGCTGCAGAAAAACTCCCAGTAGAACTTACAGACTCCCAGAAGAAAGACTCATTAGAGCCATACTCCACATCCTGGCCAACTCAGACCTGGTCCCTACATTGCTTTTCTCTAGGGCTTTGTTCTTCTCTAGTCTCAGATATTCCCCAGCTTCCCTCAGGAAACCATTCCAGTCTTGGAGGCCACACTGGTAGGAAGTCTATCCTCCAGGCAGTCTACAATTACCCTCCCTTAATTTAGGCTGATTTCTTCTCACTGAGTTCCTTTACAAATCTCAATACCACGAAGAAACTGGTATTCAAGGGCTGACAGCTTTGATGGGCCCCTGGGGAAGGTGTTGGGGGAAAGGGAGGCCATCTCTGCACACCTGGAAGGGGCGGGGTGTTGGGCAGAAGGGGCACAGCCAGACTTGAGTACTGCCTGGAGTGCTTCTCAGAGTGCACTCTTCACCCGTCCCCGTCCCCCCCAGCACTTAGCATCACCTGCAGCATGCCACATGGTGCTCCAGCGGCAATTTAAAGGGCTCAGGGCTCCAGCCACTGCTGCAGTACTAGTGGCTGAGAGCCCCGGGGCCCCTTTATACCACTGGACCCCAGGGCAACTGCCTCCTTTGGTATTTAATTATACAGCACTAAGTGCCCAAGAGATTTTGGCCTATCAGTGTATTACTCATCTCATCTCTGCAGTAACTGTACTGTGTTTACTATGGGTATGTCTACACTGCATGCTTATTTTGAAATAAGCTATTTCGGAATAGCTTGTTTTGAAATAGCCCGTCTACACTGCAGGGAAGCCTCAAAATTAACCTAAGGCAGGCTTCCCTAATGTAGACATGCTATCTTGATTTAGAGACCCAGGAGACACTGGGGAGGAATAACTTAAGAGTGTCCCTGGTGAGGGGATATTTCGAAATAGCAGCAGTGGAGCATCTACACACGCCTTATTTCGATATAGCTATTTTGGAATAGACGTTATTCCTCGTAGACCGAGATTCACAGGAGTCAGAATAAGCCGTCCATTTTTTCGAAATAATTGAGCAGTGTAGATGCACCCATGTGTGTGAATAGCCACCTATCATTCAGAATGATAAATGATCACACTTCTTTTGGAAATTTACCACTCACTATCACATATTTACTCTCTCAGCTACAGAAGGGAGGGGGCTACCAAAGACATCAGACCTCCTGCCTTCAAAGAGGAGACATTTAAAATTTCAACTTGATATTTCCGTTGGTGTATCCGGGTTCGGCTACACTAGCTCCTGTTTTGGAACGCTTTTCCCTGACGTCGTATTGGAAAGGCCCTACAATTAGGTTTTAAGCTCAGCAGGGCAGGGCGAAGTGGATTCTGAATGGCTATGCAGTGCTATGCACTCACAGGAGCATTTTACAATTGCATCGTCTCCTCGCTTTAAGAAAATATTTCTGCAGCAATAAAAAACCCAAACATTCCTGATGCGGTGAAGTTGAGATTTACAATGAACAGCAGCTTGCAAGACTAGTCCATTTCTAACTAACGGGGCTGGCAGCTCCCATCTGAAACATCTAAAAGTTGCCATTAAAATATTTAACGGATTAAAAAAAAAGCCCCTCACACAAAGCCTGCACTTGAAAGTACATTATGTTTTTGCAATGCAGGGGGGAGGATTATATCCTAGTGGCTGCAAGAACCTCGGTTTTAATGTGAGCCCAGGGTATGGCTAAATGATGCTTCATTAATTATTCACTAGCAATTAATTATGAAGCCTGATAATAATAGGATCATTGTTCATGACACCAAATGTCTGTGCAGATGGTAATTAGGTCCCAAGGGTCATTTCTCTCCAACTCCCTCACTCAGGGCAACTGAGCAAAGCGCTTGGCTCCTTTCCCCATACGCTTTCTGCCAAGCATGTCAGGATCTGGAAAGTGGCTTTCTTAGCTGCTGCCTCCAAACAAAAGCAGAAAGCAGTCCCGCACATGCTCATATGGCTGAGAGTATTGGGATACGCACAAAATCAGTCTACAACCTATGTCTATGGAGCTCAGCAGAGAGATAGCAAGAGATTTTCTGAGAGAGTCAGAGATACACTTGCTGATGCCAGGCCCTGAGAAGTGCACAGTGTGCCCTCAGTTCCCAGTGAAATAATACAAAACAAAAAACCACACACATAAAATTATTGGACAGAGGCAATGTTCCCATCCATGTGCAGAATAATTTTATGTGCACCAATATATATATACCACCACCAGAAATCTAGCTGTGGGCCATCTGCTAATCAGCTGGGGGGCATTTGACTCGCTCCTCAGTGGCCGCACAAAAGCGCAGCTTACAAGGAACACTGGGCAGAGGTCCTGTAAATAGAACACCTGAGTCTTCTCTTCTGTACACTCAGTGAGAATGAGGAATAGTCACTGCCGGAAGACTGGTGAGAGGAGAATCAGGCTCAAAATGTCACATGAGAGACTGGGACACATCTGTGGCAGCGCCAAACACAGGGTCAGCCCTGCTCTCAAGGAACTATGTGGCCAAAGAAAGACTTGCTGAAGAAATCTGTATAGTCTTCACGGGAAGGTCTGCAGTGCACTCTTGCTGAAGAAATCTGTATAGTCTTCACGGGAAAGTCTGCAGTTCAAATACGATATTCCAGAATAGTTACTCCGAAATAGCTTATTTCGAAATAGCACGTCTACACTGCAGGGAAGCCTCAAAATTAGTCCAAGGCAGGTTTCCCTAATGTAGACGTGTTATCTCGATTTAGAGCCCCAGGAGACACTGGGAAGAAATAACTTAAGAGAGTCCCTGCTGAGGGGCTATTTCGAAATAGCAGCAGTGGAGCATCTACACACCCCTTATTTCAAAATAGCTATTTCAGAAGAGGCGTTATTCCTCAGAGAATGAGGTTTGCAGATTTTGGAATAAGCAGTCCGTTATTTCAAAATGGCTGTGTAGATACTCGCATTATCTCGAAATAACGGTACAGTGTAGACGCACCGAGAGACTATTGTGGGTGTTTAGCTCTGCGCACCCAGTCTAATTACCCCCCTCTTCCTAGTGCCAACTTCCCAACTTCCTTTCAAAGTTGACCAAAGGAAGAGAGTCTTTGCGGCAGGTGGGAAAACTGCTGTAGAACAAAGCCAAGCCAGTTGCTTGGGCAACTTGTATCATTCTGCACCTTGTGCAAAAAAGTCAGCACACTTAAATAAAACCAGATCATGGCACTTGAGTTATCCTGAGCACGCGATTCTGCACCTTGTGCAAAAAAGTCAGCACACTTACATAAAACCAGATCATGGCACTTGAATCATCCTGAGCACGCTAGTGCCATGCAAACAATGAGGAACTGCTCCTCAACCTGGGACAAAGAGCAGCATTCTTCCTAGGAAAAGCATGTCTTGCAAAAAACATTAGCTTTGACTGCAGCAGGGTTAATGGTGCCATTTGTATTTGCAACATCTAGCAGAAGACTAGTGGAAAGTTTACCCCATCCCCATTTCTGATGAGGCCTCCTTCCTTTCACAACAAGTGCAATCACGCTCCAGCCAAAGAGCCATTAGCTACTTGACTTTTGGCTCAATATTCTGAAGAGAATACTAATTACAACTAAACAGAGCCACAGCAGTGCCCCACCCCTAATCCAAAGTGATCGGGAATGCCCAGGCAACACTCAAATTCTCCTATAGTTCCAAAACTTTAGAATGGGGATGCTATTAATTGGCATTTTCAAGACACCACTCACTACAGTAAACATGCCACTAAATGTCTGAACATCCATATATGTAAAAAGAGCATTGTTTCCAGCCCAAAGGACCCAACTACACTCACCTCTCTACGTGATACTGATTTAAAACTGACAGAAAATGAATGAAAAATAATAAGCAATCTTAGCCTAACTGTCCAATGCTCCAAATTGGCAACATTTACTAACAAGATGGGGCTGGAAGAGGCATGGAAAAGAACAATCCAAAGCACATTTTGTGGCTCTAACTCCAGCAGGGCCATGACTATAATTTGCTATTCTAGTCATCTGTCATGTTAAAGATGGGAATTCTAGAAGAGGATTATTCCATCTGAACCAATAATGCTCTGCAGGGAAAGCGGTTAGCAGAACCTTAACAATCCATTTCCGTTGACTAGCTGGTTGCTTGCTGGAACCTTAACAATCCATTTCCGTTGACTAGCTCTTTGCTTGCCATCCTTTTTTTAAACTTGACAGCACCCTGCGGAAAGTGAGCATGAACAGTTAGCATGCCACCTGTCCAATAAAGAGGGAGCTAACATGGAGGCCAAAGGAAAAAGCAAGTGGAGATTTTAGCAGGAAGACACAAAGGAATGTGTAGCTGTAAGACTCCATCAGAATCCAAGTGCAGCATAATATGTAAGGCAGGAATTCACTTTATGATGATAGCATCTAGCCTGGCTTTGGCTTATTAACTTTTTAAAAAAGTATTAAAATAAACTAAGGCATGAAAACCAATGTTCCCTCTAATTTTTTCATTTGTGTGAAATAAATTTGTTGTGACACCAATGATGTGCCGATGTGCACCACCAGTAGAAACATATGCTACCAGCTGTGAGTGTTCTTCTAATCAACTGACAGCATCTGAAACTCTCCAGGGTAGCCAGCCTAAAGCAGAGTTTACAGGGAACACTGACAACCCATGTAGCTTGGCTTTTATACACCAGCCCTGCTGCAACTGTAAGAGCCATTACATGACTAATAATAATAATATGGAGATATGCCATCTCATAGAACTGGAAGGGACCTTGAGAGGTCATCAAGTCCAGTCCCCTGCCCTCACAGCAGGACCAAGTACCATCCCTGACAGATTTACAGATTTGCCCCAGACCCCTAAATGCTCCCTAGATTTGCCCCAGACCCCTAAATGCCCCCTTCAAGGTTTGAGCTCACAATCCTGGATTTAGCAGTCCAATGTTCAAGCCACTGAGCTATCCCTTCTTCCCAGTTCTTTCTGAAGGAAAGAACTCCAGAAATATAAAATGAGTGGAGATGTGGAGTGAGATTTCTGTCTGTGTCTCTCTTTTTATTTTATTTTTTTTTTGGTAAGAGACTATAAGATCACACCAGTGATACATTTCTCCTGGTCTCTCCCTTCTTCTCCAGACACAGCTGGTTGAATCTCAAAGTTCCCATTTTGTAGGAAGTTTCAACATTTCAAGATTTGTTTTAATTCTAAACTGTATCAGTGCTAAAAACTCTCATTACATCACAAGCAGGAGACACTGATTTAGAAAAAATCTTTCAACAAGTGCTAAGCAGCAGCTGCCCTTTGTGATTTTAAAAATAAAATATTTAACTGCTACTCAGGTCTTAAAATAATGTAAAAATAAAACACTCCCTAAAATAAAGTTCTGAATGAAGTTTTCCAAAATGAAACATATTTTGGTTCAAAATATCCCCCATTCCCAGGAATTTTTTGTTGAAATCAACATTTCCCCCCAATTTAGATTTCAATGGAAACAATATTTTTCATCAAAACATTTTGATGAAGAACACCTGACCACCTCTATTCCTGAAGCCATCAGCTGACATCACAATGCATCCAATGTTATTAATGACGAGGCAAAAATAGGAAACAGTCGGTTTTGCTTGTATCCTTTAGCATAGCGATTCTCAATGAGGGATATATGCATTCCTGGGGGCATCCAGAGGTCTTCCAATAGTACATCAACTCATCTAGATATTTGCCTTGTTTTACAACAGGCTACATAAAAAGCATTATTGAAGTTAGTACAATCTAAGACAATGATGTGTTTACACTGCTCTGAATACTGAACACTAAAACTCAAGTACAGTATTTATGTGCCAATTGATTTATTTCATAATTATATGATAAAATAAGAAAGTCAACAATTTTTCAGTAATATGGTGTGGCACTTCTGTATTTGTAGGCATGATTTTGTAAGTTTCAGTGAGATGAAACATGGGGGTGCACAAGACTCTTGAGGGGGGTCAGTAGTCTGGAAGAATGAAAACAGCTGCCTTAGCACTATGAAAAACACACGTTTAAAAAACAAAAATAGTTCAGTAGCACCTTAAAGACTAACAAAACATGTAGATGGTATCACGAGCTTTCGTGGGCAAAACCCACTTCTTCAGATAGTTACTCTTCTGACCCATCACGTTCAGAGAGAGAATAGAAGAACTGCCTAAAGTTACTGCCATAAAGCATGAACTCTGCTTATTCTCTAACATTTGTTTTCTGACCGTCTCTATTCCTGATGGGAAATAGCCCTAAATAGCAGGGAGGCTGGGGCTATAATGAGCTACAGCTCAGCAGAGTTTTAAAGATAGCTGGAAAATGATAAGATTCCAATCCCCAGTGTCAGTGAGATAAGGAGGCTTATCTGAATTTGCACATGGGAGAGTCAGCTGCTAAACGGAACTAAGAGATAGAAGGTTGCTGACTGGGGAGATTACAGCAAGAGATAGAATTGTAGGGTATCCTGTTTACCAAGCCAACTGAGTTAGGACAGACCCCAAGTTGGGGGTGGAGGGGAATCCTATCAACCCCAAATACAGACCTGACAAAGGGGAGGGAGAAGAGTTCAGCTCCTGTTGGGCAAGCTCTGGTGGAGGCAAGTCAACCTTTTCCTCTTCCGGCCCCCATCTGCTCTTCCTCTTCTTTTTAGGAGCAGCTGCAGCTGGCTGTTTAGAGGCAGCTGGAGTGGATGACGATGGTGTGGCCTCAGCAACGCTCTTGTGTTTCAGATTGGTTTCCGGCACAAAAGGCATCCCTATGGAGCTGGTCTTGGCCTTACGGAACTCCTCCAGCTTCTGCCGGTAATATTTGTAGCCTTTGCTGTTTGGCTCATATAAAAACCTACAGTTAAAAAAAAAGTGTGTGTGCGCAACTTCATTTCAGCAACAGGTCTAAACATTGACTGGCCAGGAACTCTCCTTCCCACATGTGCTTCGAAATACCTCCCCCCTCCTCTAAACCCACATCCTCCACTTCATCCCTGGACACTTCTCTCCCCTCTGCTGCCTCATCACCTGCGATGCAAGTTAGATCGTGAGCCCCTTGGGACAGGGACTTTTCCTCCTGTTTGTAAATGCACCATGGCTAATGGTTACAGTACCACAGAAATACAGAGAAGTACCAAGGTGGTTGCTCTGGTTAGATAGCTGAAGCTTTTATAAGTTCACGTCATCTGTGGAAACAAAAAGTCCTCCCCAGCCCACATCACTACTCCATAAGGCCTGTTCCAGTTCAGAAGACACACTTCTTCACCTTACTAAAGGGAAACAGACTACCAGTTAGAGCACACTCCCACTCAAGTACTCAGATCACCAGACAACATCATAAGAACCATCTTATGATCTCCACCCCACACACAGAGTTCATTGCCACAGGTTGTAACCTCGTGCAAAAATAATGTCTTTCCCCTTTTGAGGTGAGGGAAAATCCTATTTCAATCTCTGCCAGAGGACTATGAAGAGTCTGCAATCTAACAGCCACACAGATTAGACACACACAGATTTGTCACAAATCCATCCACCGCTTCCCCCAACCTCTTTTCAATTTACACAGTTTTAACATAAAACCCTGACTCCCTTCAAAACCTCCCCATCCCTCGCTCTTCAGAGGATCAGTTTGCTACTGATCCTCCCTCTCATCAGGAGACGGTTGTGTTTTGGCAGTTCAATTATAGGTCCTTTCCACGCTATAACTGTGTGATTCTACACAAGCACATACACACTTGTATCTCTGCTTTATTAAAATTCACTGAGGTGCAATCTTGCACTTCCTAACTCGGCCAAAGCTTAAGTGGGCATTGTTTCAGGTAGAGAGTGGAGTGCAGGATTGGACCCCTCATGACCAATACATGAAATAACTCGATGGAAGAGAAGATGATAAATTCCATTCAGCAGGCCCAGATGGGATTCTCAGCAGGGCTTTAAGGGAGTTAAATGACAAAGCAGCCCTAGTATGATTGTCTGATATGCTATTCAACACCTGGGATGGGTTCCCAGAGGGCAGCCTGGCAGTGAGTAGAATGCCAAGATTTCAAGTGGGAACAGGCTAATTAAACTGGGGAGTCTAGCTTCACTCCCAGGGAACACACCGTAACCCTTTGTAGTGGCAGAAACAATCAGCTGCTTGAGTTAAAAGAAAAGCTAGGCAGTTTTAAAGGGGAGCGGGGGGAACTTTAAGGAATGGGGCCTATCAGATACACTGATGAAAAATTTTCGAAAGAGGGGCCCTTCCGGGAATTGAGTTAAGGTGCCCTACAAAGCGGCAGTGAATATCAGCACCAGACGGCGGTCATGGTGAAAGGGAGCTGAAAGGAAAGGTGTAAAGGATTAGCATCGATACTGGCGCATTGCCATGGAAGGGAGGAAGCAGACGCACAGTTAGGGAAGTCAGAAGTAACCCAATGCCTGCCTGTCTGTTTAGAGCATTTTCTGCTCGGAAGTGACAGCCTTGGGTTGGGATTTGGGTTCTAGGATTGGTCTGCTATAGGAAACTCCTGTAGCAGGAAATAAGTAGAATGACAGTGTAGCAAGATGAGGGCCTAAAACATAAGCCCATGTAGCACAGGTCTAGTTTGAGGCCTAGCCAACAATGGACAAAACATGGCTAACAAAGCAAAGATAAGCTCTGAGCAAGAGGCAGGCCCCAGCTCACAGAACTTGGCACTAACAGGGCTGAGAGTGCAAAACACTAATTGGTAATAGGCCCAGATGTAGAACTGTCATTGGTACTGGTCATAAGTGAAAAGCACATAATATTACTAGCTCATTAAGAAAGACCTTGGTACCCCACTCCTCAAGATGCAGACTCAAGTTCAGGAAAGGGTCTAAAAGGACACATGATGGATAGAGATGATCTAATCAAACCACAAGGTACAGGGTGATGGGTGGTACCTAAGTAGTGTCAGAGAGTGGTAACCCGACAACATCAGAGGTTACCGCCTAAGTAGTGTCAGAGGGTGGTAACCTGACAACATCAGAGGTTACCTGATACGTGAGAGTGAGGTGTGACTTGCTGTACCTGTATATAAGGTGGTGTCATGGGAAGACAGTCTTTGAATGACCTAGCGGGCAGCGGGACCTCCCACTGATCGAGTCATTCCATTGTGGCAAGTACATAAGGGTAGTGGTTCAGTAGAGTCTACTGACAACTATGACTGTACTTCGCTCTACAATAAACCTGGCCTGGCACCTTCGATCCTTATCTGGTTTGTGGTCTTTGGGGGCTCTCTTGGGGTCTGCTGTAGAGAATAAATGCACTAGTCTCCATGGCACACATCGCCGAGCACACATGCAAGCAGCCTTCTGGTTATCATCAGAGCCAGACACCTGGGAGGATGCCTTGGCAGTAAATCCTGACCAGCCCTCTCTGAAGAGCTTCAGACAGCTGCGTTGCACTCCAAACACTGGAAAAGGGGCGATCTACCCAGAACAAAGCAGTGTCCATTATTTTAAATTATTTCTAGTATGTTTTAGGTGCTCCTATAATGTGCTGAACAAACGCAGAAAGAAGATACTGCCGACACCTAACATTTACAATCCTGCACCACGGTTCTCCATGCAGAGCGTATTCTGAACCAACGCGGAGTTCCCTGGAGGATCAAGGCCAATGACAACAAAACACAGACTAACGGGAGTGAAAAGGGATACAACATACACAAAGTAATCAGGTGAGGCCAACACCTGGCTCCACTTCTATATTATTTAATATAAAAAAAGATAAAATAATAAATATGGATTCGTTTGCAGCAGGCACTGAAGGAGCCGTCGGACTAAGGCGAACGAGCAGAGGGTAACATACTGAGGAAGTGTGTCCATGCACAGAGGGAAACATGAAACAGAAGCAAGGATGCTGCTGTAGAAATGAATGCACAAGGCGAAGCACTGTCTGGCAAAGTGGAAACAGCAAAAAGCAAAGATCATATTTCAAGACAATTAAACCCCATTAACATGCAGAAAGGTGACGGTAAGTGGCTGCAGCAGGGATTGGGAAGTAGAACTCCGGGGCTCTCTACCCTCCTTTACAATATAATCATTCCTCTGTTTGCGTTCTAAATTTTCTCACAGAGGTTTGTCCCCAGTCAGCCCTGCCAAACAAACCAAACCAAACCCCACGCAAAGCCAGCTGCAGGCTTCTTCCTGTACCTGAAAGCATGGTTCTCCCGATTGTTCTGCAAGGCGATAGCTTCCACCTCTGGACCCCCGTCTGCTATGAACCTGGCCAGCTTCTCCGCAAAGTTCTTGGTCTCTTCATCCTCTGGGGGTGAAACTTTAAGCAGGCTGTCAATACTGGGCCCAACTCACACACCCAACAGTCAAAAGCCTATCTGTTTTACGAACCCCAAGAGTGGAATAAGGGCAAGAGGAGGGTTTATTTTTAAGAACAACATACAGAAACACAGTCAAAAAGGTCAAGAGTTCATATCACTGGGTAAGCGGAGAAGTATCAGCTAGCATGGAGGCTCTGTATTCAGGGGAATGGCCTGGACTTTCACGCTCCGATTTTCTGTATGCCACGGGGTAGGTAGAAATATGGTAATATACAAGGCAGCTTTCCCCTTCCAAACACCCATATTTGTCTCCCACACCTAGGAGGCAGCTAGCTTCATCCTCCTGTACTGGGGATTTGCCCATAGCAGAAAGCCAGCTGCACTGTGGTTCTCTCGAGTTAAGGGCCCCACTCTGAAGTCACGGGGAGCTCTGCCAGGATTGCAGCCCTCAGAGAAGAGGGTGGCAGGTCAGCAATGGAGAGAGAATGGTTTGTGTTACTCTCCTCATGCTTCTGCGGGCCAGTCGGGGCACAGGGGAAAGCAGTGCTCCACACAGCCTTGCCCCCACTCTTACCTGGAGGAGGGAGCTACTGTAGTCCAGTGGTACAGAGAAAGCTCTGACCGAGAATATGGTCAAAGCAAGTCCCCTTTATAAACAATCAAACATTTTATTTACATACAACTGCCTCACGTGGTACGTTCCATCTTCAGAGCACAATGGCCACATGGTTTAATGGTTACAGCACAGGAGTAAGTGTCCAGGCGACCTGACTTGCTGATGGGGCATGGGCACATTGTAACATGTCCTTGCATCAATATCCCATCCGCAAAGTGCGGACAATACAACTTAGCTATTAGGGTGCTGCAAGGATTCATTAATTGATGTTTTCAAAGTGCCATGGTCCTAAAAAACTCTATACAAATCATTGCTACTGTGTAAGTGTTAACTCATGTATCTTCAACACTCTGCACTGGTAACAGAATTAATCCCTTTTTTTACAGCTGAAGAAATGGAGACAAGAGGTTAAGTGCTTTGCCATGGCCACGCAGGAATTCTGTGCCTGAGGCTGGATTAAAAGCAAGATGTTCTTGATCCTGAAGTTATACTTGGCTCACCACACCTCTCCTCCCTCACAAAAGATTTAACATTTTGCATTTCACTGCTCAGGACATTAATTCTTTGGCAGATCATCTGCTCCGGCTGCTTTTCCGCTTAAAGCCACAATTCCCAGTTTGTAAGAGCCCATCTGTTGGCTATGGAATTATGCTGCAAGCAGAACATAATGGTTTTCGATGGGGAATAAGCAGCAGAAACAGGGGAACAAATATCAAAGAAACTCAGACCTGGTTTCCATTTTGACCCACGTAGAGTGGAATTACAAAGCAAACAAGAGTACCTGAGAAGCAAGACAAGTTCTAAATCTATTGTTTTTCAGAGTTGGAATGTCATTTTCAGGACGAAACAATGCAGAATCATCCTCTAGCTCACTTTCTTGAAGATGTTTGGGAAACAGTAGGAGACTCTTCCTCCACAGGAAGCAATCCTGCAAGCTCTCAGCGTGTTGGACCGTGTGCTCATTTCAGTGGGACTTTCATGCATGGAGATCTCATAAGAACAGGCTTGCTTATGGACTCAGGAAATGAGTCTAGTGGCATCAGAAATGCCATATGACTCCCTTTGTGACAGCTTTATTTATAGCCAGCAAGAGACCAACAGCAAGACTAAAGTTGCTGCATATTCCACTTGGATCATTTCTTAAAGTGTCTAACAAGTAGTTAGAGAGAGAACTGACCAAGACTTTACGATCTTCATTGCATCACTGACAGGTTGCGCTCCAGAGCCCCTCATTTACCTTTCTGACAAGAGGTTGTCTGTGAAGTCTGATTCTCTTTTTTCACCTCTGCTATTTTCTTTCTGTAGTAGAGGAATTCCCTGCTGTTCTTATCATGTAAAAATCTGGAGTGATCAGAAGGAGAAAAAAGCAAATAAAGCATGCTTTGACCTGTTAATGTTTCTATTCAGCGCAAAAAACTAGACAACAGTCATAAAATAAACTAGTCTGAAAAATACCATAAATTATACAATTTTTAAATTGTATCACCTATAACATGGTTCAGTGTTTTTTGTTGCAAGAAACCAATCCTTCTCCTTAACTAGGCCTGGCAGTTCTGGGTTAAAAACTGATTTTATAAGGCTATATGCTCCTCTTCCATATTAGTCAAATTTCTACATTTTTCTGTTTCCACAATCTGCAATTTGTACATTTCCTAACAAAGCCTTGCCAAGCCATCAAATGGACAGGTTGGCAACTTTACAATGAGCAGCTTTTGTTTATTTGGGGTTTTTTTTTGGGGGGGGGGGGGGAAGGGGAGGAGGGTTGGCAACCCTAGTACCAGCACCTTTCTTGTTTACAAAAAAAGCCCTGCCATGGTTCAAAACAAGGGGTCCTGGACTCCAGCAGGGGCTGCAAGCAGCTTTCAGGAAAATCCACCAAGAAGAGCCAGTGTTAGACTCACTGGGCCCAGGCTAGAAAGGCTAAGCCCCACAGCATGGTGCCGAAGTCCAGGGCTCTGAGCCCTGCCAGCCAGGGATGAAGTCAAAGCCTGAGCAATGTTACTTTGTGTGTGTGGTGATGGGGGGCGAGGGGGGGCGGCAGCACCCAGGCAATTGACCAACTTACTATGCCTAATGCCGGCCCGGGCTTTTGTATGCAGAAAACCAGTTATTGGGGCACACGTGTGCTGTGGAGTTCCTATAGCATGCTGTGGGGAGGGGGTCCTTGGAAAGAGGAGGTTGAGTACCCCTGGCATGTAACACTTTATACCCATAAATGGCACAGCATTCTAAGAAGGTAAGTGATATTGGCCCCATTTTTCAATGAAAGAGAGGAGAGAACCTGTCACCTCCTGATTCCCAGCCCGGTACTCTTATCCATTAGACCAGAAAAGCACTGAATCGGGTCAGGTTCTCCTAACTGGTACAGATTCGCTATGTGTCCTCCAGAATGCCATCTCCTCTCAATACCTCGGTTTCCCCAGCTATGAAACAAGGCCAATAACACTCAGCTACCTCAAAGGAAATAGCAAAGACACAACTGACTGGCGTTTGTGAAATGCTTTGAAATCTGTGGGGATAGGATTTCCAGAGGCAGAATATTTTTATGGTTCTTTGTGAGAACATCTCAAGGAAGTGATAAAGATCCAGCCTCCCAGAAGTTGACTAAGCCCCCACTCTATGCATGCAGGTCCTGAGTTCTTCACACAGATACTATATGCTGCATTAGCAAATGAAGGGACCCCTAAACTTACGAAAATGCTGGATTATCCTTGTAGTCTTCCATAGCGAGCTTTTCTAATTCTGGTCCCCCTTCGGCTACGAACCTAGCCAGCTTTTCCACCACTTTCCGGGTCTCTGCATCCTCTGGGGGTAAAACTTTAAGCAGGCTGTCAGTACTGGGGTTCAACTCACACACCCAAGAGGCACATTACTTCTAAGAACCACAGCGGTAGACAAGAGTGGGATGGGGATGAGGAGAAAAAGGATGAAATGGGGAGCCAGTCTTCCACAGCTGTACAAGTTACAAATATGAGTTATTCTCAGGCTTTACCCTCCCGGTGGGAAGGAATGATCTGACTAGAACCTTTTCTGAGAGAAAAATATAAGATTTGGTTTCCCCTAAATTTAGGGTTCAATTGCAATTTGTAATGTAATTAGCAACTAACAAGTCTAACACACAAAGGGATGGGGACAATGTGGCTGTTTTTAAAAAGAATGTATTGTACACGAAGGATCGTGGATTTCAGCTCCTGAGAGTCACTCTTTATCCACATACCAGACACAGTCTGGGCAGTGGGAGCGTATGCTTCCTCACGCTGCACCTGCCAGAATGCCTTACTCTTACCCAGGAGGGACCACTACCAGAAGGGAGTGAAGTTACCCTTTGGCTTCTCTACCGAGACTGCCAACAAGGGACCAATTCATCTCAAGTGTCAAAGGAAGCCCAAGAGAGGACACATGTTCATTGGCAACTAGACAGAGACCAAACAAATTCCAGATAGGCCAATGAACTGCTACAGACAGTAACAGACATGTTAGCACTGACCTAGACTAGATATGACCCAAAGACTAAAAACCAAAAGGCTCCATATCCTAGTACCAATCCCATTAGTCAATCGGTCACCAACATTTGTTTTCCGGTTGTTGTATGGCTGTTTAATACTGTCTTGGTTTCTACCCGGTTATGTGCAGGTCTTCCTGAGATTTTGCTAAAGTTTCTGCTGAAATAGCAAAAAGGCTGATCTCATATAGCAAGCAGCCTTTTAAATGCATCTTGAAGATCATGTCACAATGTGTTTGATCACATGACATGAAGCCCCTCCCTACTCCTCAGGGTATTTTGTAATGGTGAAGACTGTTGGTTTGCTAGCCTGGTAGATGAGAGTCCTCTATCCACAGCACAGGCAACGGTAGGAGGAGCTTCCCCCACACTGGCTAACCATTATGTATCAGCCCCAAACTGGAGGAAGGATGAGGGGGCCATTCACTCTCTATGGTCCAGCAATTCAATCCTCAGCCCCCGCCATGAAGCTGGCTACAAGGGGGCCAATCAATGCCAATTCTAGTGTTTATATTTTTCAGTGCAGACATCTGCTCACTGGAATCTGGGCTGAGAGCTACCAAATCAAAGCACATGAGAAATCATCAAGCAATAATTCTTTCCCATAAGAAAGACTAAGTAGACGACCGAGGAAGCACAAAAACAAGCTCCATTTCCCATCTACGCCCTTACTGATAACCTGCCTGAATCTACATGCAAAATAAATAAGAGGTGAACTTCAGTTTAATAAGACACAACTTACTTTTGATTTCCAACCACTGTTCATAATCCTCCTCATCATCATCATCTGGCGACTGAAACACACTTAGGCGGTTAGCAACTGGCATCTGTTTGGAATGGGAGTAATTCTTCACTTGGTTCAACATGCTGCTCGTGGCCAAGCTGTGACGTTTCCCGATGAGGATGGGTTTCTTGCCAGTGCTTGAGGAAGAGGTGTTTGCAGAAATGTTGGCAGAACTTGGAGAAGCTTCTTAGAAAAGAAGAAAGGAAAAAAATCTGTATCCATAAACAAAAGATCTTTGTTTATCCACATAGCAGGTAAAACAATGGTAGCAATGCAACCTTCCATACCACATTCAACCTTACCAAGTCATTTTAATCTCAGTTTAGAGGGACCACTTCTATTGGTAGAAATGAATGCACAAGGCGAAGCACTGTCTGGCAAAGTGGAAACAGCAAAAAGCAAAGATCATATTTCAAGACAATTAAACCCCATTAACATGCAGAAAGGTGACGGTAAGTGGCTGCAGCAGGGATTGGGAAGTAGAACTCCGGGGCTCTCTACCCTCCTTTACAATATAATCATTCCTCTGTTTGCGTTCTAAATTTTCTCACAGAGGTTTGTCCCCAGTCAGCCCTGCCAAACAAACCAAACCAAACCCCACGCAAAGCCAGCTGCAGGCTTCTTCCTGTACCTGAAAGCATGGTTCTCCCGATTGTTCTGCAAGGCGATAGCTTCCACCTCTGGACCCCCGTCTGCTATGAACCTGGCCAGCTTCTCCGCAAAGTTCTTGGTCTCTTCATCCTCTGGGGGTGAAACTTTAAGCAGGCTGTCAATACTGGGCCCAACTCACACACCCAACAGTCAAAAGCCTATCTGTTTTACGAACCCCAAGAGTGGAATAAGGGCAAGAGGAGGGTTTATTTTTAAGAACAACATACAGAAACACAGTCAAAAAGGTCAAGAGTTCATATCACTGGGTAAGCGGAGAAGTATCAGCTAGCATGGAGGCTCTGTATTCAGGGGAATGGCCTGGACTTTCACGCTCCGATTTTCTGTATGCCACGGGGTAGGTAGAAATATGGTAATATACAAGGCAGCTTTCCCCTTCCAAACACCCATATTTGTCTCCCACACCTAGGAGGCAGCTAGCTTCATCCTCCTGTACTGGGGATTTGCCCATAGCAGAAAGCCAGCTGCACTGTGGTTCTCTCGAGTTAAGGGCCCCACTCTGAAGTCACGGGGAGCTCTGCCAGGATTGCAGCCCTCAGAGAAGAGGGTGGCAGGTCAGCAATGGAGAGAGAATGGTTTGTGTTACTCTCCTCATGCTTCTGCGGGCCAGTCGGGGCACAGGGGAAAGCAGTGCTCCACACAGCCTTGCCCCCACTCTTACCTGGAGGAGGGAGCTACTGTAGTCCAGTGGTACAGAGAAAGCTCTGACCGAGAATATGGTCAAAGCAAGTCCCCTTTATAAACAATCAAACATTTTATTTACATACAACTGCCTCACGTGGTACGTTCCATCTTCAGAGCACAATGGCCACATGGTTTAATGGTTACAGCACAGGAGTAAGTGTCCAGGCGACCTGACTTGCTGATGGGGCATGGGCACATTGTAACATGTCCTTGCATCAATATCCCATCCGCAAAGTGCGGACAATACAACTTAGCTATTAGGGTGCTGCAAGGATTCATTAATTGATGTTTTCAAAGTGCCATGGTCCTAAAAAACTCTATACAAATCATTGCTACTGTGTAAGTGTTAACTCATGTATCTTCAACACTCTGCACTGGTAACAGAATTAATCCCTTTTTTTACAGCTGAAGAAATGGAGACAAGAGGTTAAGTGCTTTGCCATGGCCACGCAGGAATTCTGTGCCTGAGGCTGGATTAAAAGCAAGATGTTCTTGATCCTGAAGTTATACTTGGCTCACCACACCTCTCCTCCCTCACAAAAGATTTAACATTTTGCATTTCACTGCTCAGGACATTAATTCTTTGGCAGATCATCTGCTCCGGCTGCTTTTCCGCTTAAAGCCACAATTCCCAGTTTGTAAGAGCCCATCTGTTGGCTATGGAATTATGCTGCAAGCAGAACATAATGGTTTTCGATGGGGAATAAGCAGCAGAAACAGGGGAACAAATATCAAAGAAACTCAGACCTGGTTTCCATTTTGACCCACGTAGAGTGGAATTACAAAGCAAACAAGAGTACCTGAGAAGCAAGACAAGTTCTAAATCTATTGTTTTTCAGAGTTGGAATGTCATTTTCAGGACGAAACAATGCAGAATCATCCTCTAGCTCACTTTCTTGAAGATGTTTGGGAAACAGTAGGAGACTCTTCCTCCACAGGAAGCAATCCTGCAAGCTCTCAGCGTGTTGGACCGTGTGCTCATTTCAGTGGGACTTTCATGCATGGAGATCTCATAAGAACAGGCTTGCTTATGGACTCAGGAAATGAGTCTAGTGGCATCAGAAATGCCATATGACTCCCTTTGTGACAGCTTTATTTATAGCCAGCAAGAGACCAACAGCAAGACTAAAGTTGCTGCATATTCCACTTGGATCATTTCTTAAAGTGTCTAACAAGTAGTTAGAGAGAGAACTGACCAAGACTTTACGATCTTCATTGCATCACTGACAGGTTGCGCTCCAGAGCCCCTCATTTACCTTTCTGACAAGAGGTTGTCTGTGAAGTCTGATTCTCTTTTTTCACCTCTGCTATTTTCTTTCTGTAGTAGAGGAATTCCCTGCTGTTCTTATCATGTAAAAATCTGGAGTGATCAGAAGGAGAAAAAAGCAAATAAAGCATGCTTTGACCTGTTAATGTTTCTATTCAGCGCAAAAAACTAGACAACAGTCATAAAATAAACTAGTCTGAAAAATACCATAAATTATACCATTTTTAAATTGCATCACCTATAACATGGCTCAGTGTTATTTTTGTAAGGGTATGCACTGTTATGGCATACCATCACCTTTTCTCGGGAGTACTTGCTTTTCTCCAGCAAAGCTCCCAGCTGGCCCAGGGAGCACTTATTCCAACCACTGTTCATAATCCTCCTCATCATCATCATCTGGCGACTGAAACACACTTAGGCGGTTAGCAACTGGCATCTGTTTGGAATGGGAGTAATTCTTCACTTGGTTCAACATGCTGCTCGTGGCCAAGCTGTGACGTTTCCCGATGAGGATGGGTTTCTTGCCAGTGCTTGAGGAAGAGGTGTTTGCAGAAATGTTGGCAGAACTTGGAGAAGCTTCTTAGAAAAGAAGAAAGGAAAAAAATCTGTATCCATAAACAAAAGATCTTTGTTTATCCACATAGCAGGTAAAACAATGGTAGCAATGCAACCTTCCATACCACATTCAACCTTACCAAGTCATTTTAATCTCAGTTTAGAGGGACCACTTCTATTGATTTCTTTAAATACTGAAATGTTAGCAAACAGTTTGCACTAACATCTGACTCTTTAATGTAACTACTCCTTTATAGCAGCAACCATGCTGCTTGTGTTATGAAGGAGAAGGAGGCCCTTCTGTTGCTCAAGAGTCAACTTACCAGTACTTGATTTTTCTTTCTGCAGCTTAAGAAACTGCTGGAGAAAGCTGCCATCATTGGCAAACTTGTTGGAAACAGAGGCTTCATTTTCACCACTTTCATCTCTAAATAGAAAAAAAGATGGCAAACTTGTTGGAAACAGAGGCTTCATTCTCACCACTTTCATCTCTAAAAAAGAAGTATTGATTTCTTTAAATACTGAAATGTTAGCAAACAGTTTGCACTAACATCTGACTCTTTAATGTAACTACTCCTTTATAGCAGCAACCATGCTGCTTGTGTTATGAAGGAGAAGGAGGCCCTTCTGTTGCTCAAGAGTCAACTTACCAGTACTTGATTTTTCTTTCTGCAGCTTAAGAAACTGCTGGAGAAAGCTGCCATCATTGGCAAACTTGTTGGAAACAGAGGCTTCATTCTCACCACTTTCATCTCTAAAAAAGAAGAGAGATTAGATGCTTAATGTCCTTCTTTGTAGCTCAGAACGAAATAAAGTGGCAGTAATTGCTAATCTCTCAAGGTGGAAATAGGCTACTTGTTTTAGGAATAAACAATACTTCCTGATCTCACAGCAGTCTCAAAACATTAGGTACTAATTAATGTTAGGTATTAGTCATCCTACTTAACAGATTGGAACAGGAAGTTGACAAGTCATTTATTCTAAATTTTCTAAAGCTCCACAGCCACAGAATGTGCTTATTATGAAGTAATCTGTACACCTCATCTAGTTCACTCCCCAATCTACTAAAACAAGGTTGCTACTAGCAGTTTCTGTATCATTTCCCTGAGCAGCATGGGAAAACACTAGTTAAGAGAACTACACTAACCAAACCAAGCTAGAGACTACCACCATAGTAGTTACCATAACAAAATTTACACAAGTATAAGGCAGAAAGCCCAAGGGAAAACACTAGAATTCTGCTAGCAATAATCGTGTTTAATGGTTGTTGCTACCTGTTCAGCAATGGACAATACTTTAGAAAGGAGAGAAGATACTGAAAACTGCCTAGCACAAGATGATGTTTAATTGTTCTAATTTTAAAAAAATCACAATCATGTATGCAGTGGTTTCTGAAACAAAATTAAGTGATAAATCCCCATGATTCATACATACTCATAAAAGCGAGGGGGGTGTTGGCTGACTAGGTGATTCTGTTTTGCTTGCTGCTCCATTTTGGCCTCAATTTCTTTCTTCTTTTGTGCTATCAGTTCCTCTTGATGAAGAATATTCATGTTCATCTTCACAGATTTAGATGGTGTAACACCAAACCATCGGCTCGCTTTTCCTTGAGAAGCAAAGTGGGATCAAAATTAACAGTCTTCTCTTCCCTTTGTGACATCTAGGAAATTATTAGAGTACTTATAAAGGGAGCCATGTATGGATACAAAACTGGTATCTGCATCTGTAAAAAATGATCAGATGCAGATACTCATGGATTCATAGCAGATATCTGCAAACTTGCAGGGTTTTAGATACACAATTTGTATCTGAATCCATATCTGCAAAAACAACTCACAGATATCCATAGATGTGGATACCTACTGATCTAAAGGGGTTCACAGATTTGCAGGGTTCTACTTGTAACTGGAGGGCCAGGTGAGAGAAAGCAAAGAAGCAATGTTCCACTCTATTGTTTACTTTTAGATCATCTGAGCAGGGGGCATTTGGTAAGTCCTTTAATTACTATCTCAGAGTGCTTCTGCATGTAAAACTTAGTTCCACCTAACAACACTGCCCAGGGCTGTGAAAAAATTCACATCCTGTAGAACATAAGAACGGCCGTACTGGGTCAGACCAAAGGTCCATCTAGCCCAGTATCCTGTCTGCCCACAGTGGACAGCACCAGGTGCCCCAGAGAGGGTGGACCAAAGACAATGATCAAGCAATTTGTCTCCTGCCATCTCTCTCCAGCATCTGACAAATAGAGGCCAGGGACACCATTTCAATCCCCTTGCTAATAGCTTTTTATGGACCTAACCTCCATGAAATTATCTAGCTTCTCTTTAAACTCTGTTATAGTCCTAGCCTTCACAGCCTCCTCTGGCAAGGAGTTCCACAGGTTGACTACACGCTGTGTGAAGAAGAACTTTCTTTTATTAGTTTTAAACCTGCTCCCCTTTCCCATAAGAAAGACTAAGTAGACGACCGAGGAAGCACAAAAACAAGCTCCATTTCCCATCTACGCCCTTACTGATAACCTGCCTGAATCTACATGCAAAATAAATAAGAGGTGAACTTCAGTTTAATAAGACACAACTTACTTTTGATTTCCAACCACTGTTCATAATCCTCCTCATCATCATCATCTGGCGACTGAAACACACTTAGGCGGTTAGCAACTGGCATCTGTTTGGAATGGGAGTAATTCTTCACTTGGTTCAACATGCTGCTCGTGGCCAAGCTGTGACGTTTCCCGATGAGGATGGGTTTCTTGCCAGTGCTTGAGGAAGAGGTGTTTGCAGAAATGTTGGCAGAACTTGGAGAAGCTTCTTAGAAAAGAAGAAAGGAAAAAAATCTGTATCCATAAACAAAAGATCTTTGTTTATCCACATAGCAGGTAAAACAATGGTAGCAATGCAACCTTCCATACCACATTCAACCTTACCAAGTCATTTTAATCTCAGTTTAGAGGGACCACTTCTATTGATTTCTTTAAATACTGAAATGTTAGCAAACAGTTTGCACTAACATCTGACTCTTTAATGTAACTACTCCTTTATAGCAGCAACCATGCTGCTTGTGTTATGAAGGAGAAGGAGGCCCTTCTGTTGCTCAAGAGTCAACTTACCAGTACTTGATTTTTCTTTCTGCAGCTTAAGAAACTGCTGGAGAAAGCTGCCATCATTGGCAAACTTGTTGGAAACAGAGGCTTCATTCTCACCACTCTCTAAATAGAAAAAAAGAAGAGATTAGATGCTTAATGTCCTTCTTTGTAGCTCAGAACGAAATAAAGTGGCAGTAATTGCTAATCTCTCAAGGTGGAAATAGGCTACTTGTTTTAGGAATAAACAATACTTCCTGATCTCACAGCAGTCTCAAAACATTAGGTACTAATTAATGTTAGGTATTAGTCATCCTACTTAACAGATTGGAACAGGAAGTTGACAAGGCATTTATTCTAAATTTTCTAAAGCTCCACAGCCACAGAATGTGCTTATTATGAAGTAATCTGTACACCTCATCTAGTTCACTCCCCAATCTACTAAAACAAGGTTGCTACTAGCAGTTTCTGTATCATTTCCCTGAGCAGCATGGGAAAACACTAGTTAAGAGAACTACACTAACCAAACCAAGCTAGAGACTACCACCATAGTAGTTACCATAACAAAGTTTACACAAGTATCAGGCAGAAAGCCCCAGGGAAAACACTAGAACTCTGCTAGCAATAATCATGTTTAATGGTTGTTGCTACCTGTTCAGCAATGGACAATACTTTAGAAAGGAGAGAAGATACTGAAAACTGCCTAGCACAAGATGATGTTTAATTGTTCTAATTTTAAAAAAATCACAATCATGTATGCAGTGGTTTCTGAAACAAAATTAAGTGATAAATCCCCATGATTCATACATACTCATAAAAGCGAGGGGGGTGTTGGCTGACTAGGTGATTCTGTTTTGCTTGCTGCTCCATTTTGGCCTCAATTTCTTTCTTCTTTTGTGCTATCAGTTCCTCTTGATGAAGAATATTCATGTTCATCTTCACAGATTTAGATGGTGTAACACCAAACCATCGGCTCGCTTTTCCTTGAGAAGCAAAGTGGGATCAAAATTAACAGTCTTCTCTTCCCTTTGTGACATCTAGGAAATTATTAGAGTACTTATAAAGGGAGCCATGTATGGATACAAAACTGGTATCTGCATCTGTAAAAAATGATCAGATGCAGATACTCAGGGATTCATAGCAGATATCTGCAAACTTGCAGGGTTTTAGATACACAATTTGTATCTGAATCCATATCTGCAAAAACAACTCACAGATATCCATAGATGTGGATACCTACTGATCTAAAGGGGTTCACAGATTTGCAGGGTTCTACTTGTAACTGGAGGGCCAGGTGAGAGAAAGCAAAGAAGCAATGTTCCACTCTATTGTTTACTTTTAGATCATCTGAGCAGGGGGCATTTGGTAAGTCCTTTAATTACTATCTCAGAGTGCTTCTGCATGTAAAACTTAGTTCCACCTAACAACACTGCCCAGGGCTGTGAAAAAATTCACATCCTGTAGAACATAAGAACGGCCGTACTGGGTCAGACCAAAGGTCCATCTAGCCCAGTATCCTGTCTGCCCACAGTGGACAGCACCAGGTGCCCCAGAGAGGGTGGACCAAAGACAATGATCAAGCAATTTGTCCAGCCTCTGACAACCAGAGGCCAAGGACACCATTTTATCCCCTGGCTAATAGCCTTTTATGGACCTAACCTCCATGAATTTATCTAGCTTCTCTTTAAACTCTATTATAGTCCTAGCCTTCACAGCCTCCTCTGGCAAGGAGTTCCACAGGTTGACTACACGCTATGTGAAGAAGAACTTTCTTTTATTAGTTTTAAACCTGCTACCCATTAATTTCATTTGGTGTCCTCTAGTTCTTCTATTTAGGGAACTAATAAATAACTTTTCTTTATCAGCCCTCTCCACACCACTCATGATTTTATAGACCTCTATCATATCACCCCCTCAGTCTCCTCTTTTCTAAACTGAAAAGTCCCAGTCGCTTTAACCTCTCCTCATCTGGGACCCGTTCCAAACCCCTCGTCATTTTAGTTGCCCTTTTCTGAACCCTTTCCAAGGCCAAAATATCTTTTTTGAGGTGAGAACACATAGTCAAGGCAACCTAATGCCCCCACTGGGAGATGCAACCAGCTGACCAGAAGAACTATTCCATCCACCTAGCGCCTGCCTTTTCGGAGATGAACTGACCACGCGCCTGGAGAAAGCCCTTCCCCCGCTGTGTGCGTGAGCCTACGCGGCGCGCATGGACGCCTGGAGTGGCGGGGGGGGGG